CGACTCTTCTTATCCACCTTCAACTCTCTACTCTCGCCGCCACCCCCCCACCTCCACCCAGCACCTTACTCTCTGCCCTTGAGATTGCCAATCACTTCAAAAACAAGATTGACACAATTCGCAAGGACATCGCCCACAACTCACGCGCCCTCTCAACCCGTCCCCTCTCACACAGCTACCCCCTCATCCCCCCTCTCCCTCAACATAACCCGCAGGGATTTCGTCGCTGCTCAAACTCCCTCCAACCCCGTTCCCCCTCACTCAACTACCCCCTCATCACCTCTCTCCCACGGCCCCACCACTGCTCTGACCCCCACTTTTCACCCCACCCTACATTCCTCATACTGAAGCCCCCCCAACACTCCGCACCTTTGACCTTACTACCATCAAGAAAGTCTCCAAGATCCTCTCTGATGCCCGCCTCACCACCTGCCCCCTCGACCCTATCCCCTCACAACTCCTACGACCTCCCTCCCCCTCCATCCTACGCTCCCTCACCCACATCTTCAATCTCTCCCTCTCCTCCGGCACTTTTCCCCTCCCCTCTGAAACATGCACACTTCACCCCCCCATACTTAAAAAGCCCTCCCTGGACCCCAATGACCCGAACAACCTCAGACCCATCTCCCTGCTCCCATTTACATCTAAACTCCTCGAGCGCCTAGTCTACACCCGCCTAAGCTCTCACCTCAATGACAACAACCTCCTCGATCCCCTACAGTCCGGCTTTCGTCCCCTACACTCCACCGAAACTGCCTTACTCAAACTCTCCAATGACCTGCTAACCGCCAAAGCTAATGGCCATTATTCAGTGCTCCTACTCCTTGACCTCTCTGCGGCCTTCGACACAGTCGACCACTCCCTCCTCCTCAAAAAACTGCACTCCCTCGGCCTCAGAGACTCTGCTCTCTCCTGGCTCTCATCCTACCTGTCACAACGCTCTTTCAGCATTACCTATAATGCTATCACCTCCCCCTCACTCCCCCTCTCTGTTGGGGTCCCTCAAGGCTCTGTCCTTGGGCCCCTTCTCTTCTCCATCTACACCTCCTTTCTTGGCCAACTCATACACTCTCACGGCTTCAAACTACCACCTCTATGCGACACACAAATCTATCTCTCAACCCCCCACCCCCTCGGTCTCTCCGCCCGAATCACACACCTACTGAGCGACATTTCAGACTGGATGTCGCTCCACTTCCTTAAACTGAACCTCTCCAAAACCGAGTTTCTTGTCCCCCCAGCCTGGACACACCACCCACAATTGACTTCTCCGTCACATCCAACAACGCCACCATCAAACCCGCCCCGCAGGCCAGAGTACTTGGTGTCATTCTGGACTCCAACCTATCCTTCCAGCCCCAAGTCCAATCTTTAACAAACTCGTGCAGACTCCACCTCCGCAACATCGCCAAACTACGCATGTTCCTAACCCCAGAAACCACTAAACAGCTCATCCACTCCCTCATCATATCACGACTCGACTACTGCAACTCCCTCCTCACTGGCCTGCCTCGCCGCTGGCTATCCCCGCTTCAGGAGATCCTGAATACGGCTGCCAAACTCATTCACCTTTCCAACCGCTCCATCTCCGCCACCCCCTCTGCCAATCCCTCCACTGGCTTCCGATTGCGCAATGGATAATGTCAGGATAATGTCAGGAATGGACTGGCCAGCAATGGTGGGACTCACCTGCCTTTTGATCTGCAGTACCAGGGCTGGCCAGCGGATGCTCCCAGCAATCAGAGACTCAACTTTGCAGCCAGCTAACACCTGGAACTGATTATGCTGGGTATTTAAGGGATGGCCAGACCCACAGACTCTGCCTTGGTGTTGTGTTTGTCCTGGGCCCTGTATCCTGTTTCTGTCCTGCATCCTGTTTCTGAACCGCTGCTGACTTCTCCTGCTCTGATCCCGGCTCGCTCCTGACCATCCCTCTGCCTGACCCTCTGTACCACGCTGCTTGCTACCTGTTCTGATCCCTGGCTTGTGACCCTGACCATCCCTCTGCCTGACCCTCTGTACTACGCTGCTTGCTACCTGCTGAACCTGGCCTGTGACCCCGACCAATCTCCGCTTGCTCCCCCTGTACCTACCTGCCCTATTGATATTGACCCGGCCTGCCTGACGACGCTTGCTTGTATGTACTGTTATCTGTGGGTGGTTGGTTTGGTTTGGTTGCACTGTATTATGTTTTAGTATTGCACTGCGTTTATGTTTGTATTGTTAGTGTTCATAAATTATATTGTTTATAACATATCTGAGGTCTGCGTTTCCCTGCGTCAGCCACACACCTCTGGTCACACCTGGGAGCCCTGACATTACACCAAGGCCAATCCTGACCAGAAGTGGCTGCACAGGGAAGCCATCTTGGCTTGTTGCTGGGAAGGATGGATCTGGATGAGGTTGTGGTTTTATATCTGCTAGTGTTTGATGACAGGGAGTATGCTTATCAAACTCTGAAGGAGTATCCCAGGGATCAACTACTAGAATGTATATGGCTCGCTCATGTTCTAGTAGATCAGGGCACAGAGTTCTCTGAGGTGCAGCCTTTGATTGAGGTTTGTGCTGAGTTGGTTTCATCTGGTTCCCTCGAATGCAGGGATGAATTTTTGCCACCATTTAGTGCAGACCAGGTAGAGTCCCTGGTGGTGTGGTTATTAGAGGATGATGTGGGTTACTTTCTGGAGCGTTATTCCACATGTTCACCACAGACACTAAGAGATTGTATAAACGCAGTGCAGTCATTGACCAGACAGGCTTTGTGTAAGCTCAGCTTTGTTCAACCCCTACTGCAGACATGGACAGACTTGTTGCACCCAGCCTCAGTCAGCTTACAAAAACCCAGTCCTGCTTCTAACTCTACTCCTGTATTCCCACCAGCTCTCCAGTTACAGCCCAGTATACTTGGCTATCTACCGCATGTCAGTACCCTGTTCCCACTCGCTGCACCTATCCTGCCTTTAACCCTGTAAAAAAGCCCTCTGTAGCAACTGCTCCCTCTCCTGTTCCATCCTCCAGTTTTTCTCTGTCTCCAGCTGCTCCATTCGTTTGCAGACCTGCGTTTACTTGCAGTGCTCCAGTAGTTAAAACCAGAAAAAAGCGAAAATTCTTTCCAACCAATACCATCCTGCCAGTATCCAAACTGGTGAACCTGCCTTCCGTGACTCAGCCTGAAGCCTCTACTCAGCCTGATGCCTCTACTCAGCCTGATGCCTCTACTCAGCCTGATGCCTCTACTCAGCCTGAAACCTCTACTCAGCCTGAAGCCTCTCTTCACCCTGATGCCTCTCTTCAGCCTGATGCCTCTCTTCAGCCTGAAGCCTCTACTCAGCCTGAAGCCTCTACTCAGCCTGAAGCCTCTACTCAGCCTGATGCCTGCATTCAGCCTGATGCCGCTACTCAGCATGATGAACTGATCCAGCCCGACGATCCTATTAGGCCAGTTGACTCGATGCCCGCTGTTGATCCAGATGATCCGGTACCTGACCCAGTGCCCGCTGTTGTGCCAATTGACTCAGAGCCCGCTGTCATACCTGGTGACCCGGTGCCCACTGCCTTGCCAGATGATGCGGTGCCCGCTGGCAAGCCAAATGACCTGATGCCTGGTGACCCAGTGCCCGCTGTCATACCTGGTGACCCGATGCCCGCTGTTGAGCCAGACAATCCGATACCTGATGACCCGGTGCCCACTGTCGTGCCTGTTGACTCGGAGCCCACTGTCTTGCCAGACGACTCGGTGCCCGCTGTTCCGCCAGTCGACTCGGTGCCCGCTGTTCCGCCAGTTGACTCGGTGCCCGCAGTCTTGCCAGTCGACTCGGTGCCCGCAGTCTTGCCAGACGACTCGGTGCCCGCAGTCTTGCCAGACGACTCGGTGCCCACAGTCCCGCCAGTTGACTCGATGCCCGCTTGTCCGCCAGTTGACTCGATGCCCGCTGTTCCGCCAGTTGACTCGATGCCCGCAGTCTTGCCAGACGACTCGGTGCCCGCAGTTCCGCCAGTTGACTCGATGCCCGCTGTTCCGCCAGACGACTCGGTGCCCGCAGTCTTGCCAGACGACTCGGTGCCCGCAGTCTTGCCAGACGACTCGGTGCCCGCAGTCTTGCCAGACAACTCGGTGCCCGCAGTCTTGCCAGACGACTCGGTGCCCGCAGTCTTGCCAGACGACTCGGTGCCCGCAGTCTTGCCAGACGACTCGGTGCCCGCTGTTCCGCCAATTGACTCAGAGCCCGCTGTCATACCTGGTGACCCGGTGCCCCACTGCTTGCCAGATGATGCGGTGCCCGCTGGCAAGCCAAATGACCTGATGCCTGGTGACCCAGTGCCCCCGCTGTCATACCTGGTGACCCGATGCCCGCTGTCGAGCCAGACAATCCGATACCTGATGACCCCCGGTGCCCACTGTCGTGCCTGTTGACTCGGAGCCCACTGTCTTGCCAGACGACTCGGTGCCCGCTGTTCCGCCAGTCGACTCGGTGCCCGCAGTCTTGCCAGTCGACTCGGTGCCCGCAGTCTTGCCAGACGACTCGGTGCCCGCAGTCTTGCCAGACGACTCGGTGCCCGCAGTCTTGCCAGACGACTCTGTGCCCACAGTCCCGCCAGTTGACTCGATGCCCGCTGTTCCGCCAGTTGACTCGATGCCCGCAGTCTTGCCAGACGACTCGATGCCCGCAGTTCCGCCAGTTGACTCGATGCCCGCTGTTCCGCCAGACGACTCGGTGCCCGCAGTCTTGCCAGACGACTCGGTGCCCGCAGTCTTGCCAGACGACTCGGTGCCCGCAGTCTTGCCAGACGACTCGGTGCCCGCAGTCTTGCCAGACGACTCGGTGCCCGCTGTTCCGCCAGTTGACTCGGTGCCCGCAGTCTTGCCAGACGACTCGGTGCCCGCAGTCTTGCCAGACGACTCGGTGCCCGCAGTCTTGCAGAGACGACTCGGTGCCCGCAGTCTTGCCAGAGACTCGGTGCCCACAGTCCCCGCCCAGTTGACTCGATGCCCCGCTGTTCCGCCAGTTGACTCGATGCCCGCTGTTCCGCCAGTTGACTCGGTGCCCGCAGTCTTGCCAGAACGACTCGTGCCCGCAGTCTTGCCAGACGACTCGATGCCGCTGTTCCGCCAGTTGACTCGGTGCCCGCAGTCTTGCCAGACGACTGAGGGCCCAAGACCTGTCGCTCCATCTGGGGGTCCAGCGCCCCCCGCTCCGCCTGAGGGCCCGAGACCTGTCGCTCCATCTGGGGGTCCGACGCCCGCCCGCTCCGCCTGAGGGCCCGAGACCTGTCGCTCCATCTGGGGGTCCGGCGCCCACCCTCCGCCTGAGGGCCCGAGACCTGTCGCTCCATCTGGGGGTCCGGCGCCCGCCGCTCCGCCTGAGGGCCCGAGGCCTGTCGCCCCGCCCGGGGCCCGAGGCCTGTCGCCCGCCCGGGGGCCCGGTGCCTGTCGCCCCGCCCGGGGGCCCGGTGCCTGCCGCTCCGCCTCCGCCTGGTGGCCCGATGTGCCTCTGCCCGGAGTCCAGCCCACTGTGCCTCTGCCCGGAGTCCAGCCCGATGTGCCTCTGCCCGGTGTGCCTCTGCCCGGAGTCCTGCCCGGTGTGCCTCTGCCCGGAGTCCAGCCCGATGTGCCTCTGCCCGGAGTCCAGCCCGATGTGCCTCTGCCCGGAGTCCAGCCCGATGTGCCTCTGCCCGGAGTCCAGCCCGATGTGCCTCTACCCGGTGTGCCCTCTGCCCGGAGTCCAGCCCGGGGTGCCTCTGCCCGGAGTCCAGCCCGATGTGCCTCTGCCCAGTGTGCCTCTGCCCGGTGTGCCTCTGCCCGAGTCCAGCCCGATGTGCCTCTGCCCGGTGTACCGCTGCCCGGAGTCCAGCCCGGTGTGCCAGTCTTTGATATCCCGCCAGTTACCAGACCCGGGCGGTGGAACATTTTTCCCAGCTAGGATTGTTTGGAGCGTCCTGAGGCCGCTCCTTGAGGGGGGGGGGTACTGTCAGGAATGGACTGGCCAGCAATGGTGGGACTCACTGCCTTTTGATCTGCAGTACCAGGGCTGGCCAGCGGATGCTCCCCAGCAATCAGAGACTCAACTTTGCAGCCAGCTAACACCTGGAACTGATTATGCTGGGGTATTTAAGGGATGGCCAGACCCACAGACTCTGCCTTGGTGTTGTGTTTGTCCTGGGCCCTGTATCCTGTTTCTGTCCTGCATCCTGTTTCTGAACCGCTGCTGACTTCTCCTGCTCTGATCCCGGCTCGCTCCTGACCATCCCTCTGCCTGACCCTCTGTACCACGCTGCTTGCTACCTGTTCTGATCCCTGACTTGTGACCCTGACCATCCCTCTGCCTGACCCTCTGTACTACGCGGCTCGCTCCTGACCATCCCTCTGCCTGACCCTCTGTACCACGCTGCTTGCTACCTGTTCTGATCCCTGACTTGTGACCCTGACCATCCCTCTGCCTGACCCTCTGTACTACGCTGCTTGCTACCTGCTGAACCTGGCCTGTGACCCCGACCAATCTCCGCTTGCTCCCCCTGTACCTACCTGCCCTATTGATATTGACCCGGCCTGCCTGACGACGCTTGCTTGTATGTACTGTTATCTGTGGGTGGTTGGTTTGGTTTGGTTTGGTTGCACTGTATTATGTTTTAGTATTGCACTGCGTTTATATTTGTATTGTTAGTGTTCATAAATTATATTGTTTATAACATATCTGAGGTCTGCGTTTCCCTGCGTCAGCCACACACCTCTGGTCACACCTGGGAGCCCTGACAGATAAAATTCAAAATCCTAACACTGACGTACAAAGTTGTCCACCATACTGCCCCGTACTACATCACTGACCTAATATCCAAGTACCGCCCAGCACGCACACTCCGCTCCTCACAAGACCTCCTTCTCTCTAGTTCTCTGGTCTCCTCCTCCCATGCCCGCCTCCAGGACTTCTCCAGGGTGTCACCCATCCTCTGGAACTCCCTGCCCCAACCCATCAGATTATCACCTACTCTCCTCTCCTTTAGGCACACCCTGAAAACCCATCTCTTCAGGGAAGCCTACCCCACCCCCTGCTAACCTGCTGACCTCCTCCACTCTTCCTACCACTCCATCCCCCACAGCTATCTCCTCCTGTGCCACCATCCCCTCCCTCCTAGATTGTAAGCTCGAAAGAGCAGGGCCCTCAATACCCTCATGTTTTGCATTGTATTGGTATTGTTCTGTTCCCCTTTGTAATGTACAGCGCTGAGCGAACCATTGGCGCTTTACAAATACTGTATAATAATAAAAAAATAATATACACTTTGCACAAACATACATATTTGCCAGCACACCACGGATCTCGATATGGTCCAAAAAGGTTTTATCCCAAAAAGATCTCATCAGAAAGAAAAGTGCAACATTTCGGAGCCTCGCAGGACCCCTTTGTCAGGCATGTGATAAGGGTGCATCAGTGACTATACAGACTATAGATACATAAACCACTAATCAAAATCATGAGTGGTTTCTGCATAAAGAACCAACCGACGATTGATCGTCACAAGCAGGAGTTTTGCGAGAAATGGTGTGAGGTTTCAACACAAAATTCTCTTAACTATATGCTGATTTTTATCAAGAAAGTGAAAGTACAATTGTGTCAAGTGAATAGAGAGTTATCAGCTCTTGAACTCTCTGTACAGGACAAGGACGATTTGTCGACGAGGCTTCAGAAGATCGGTAACAAAATAATTGTTTACACCAAAAAACAGAAACAAGCTAAGCGAGTATAACTCAAACTAATCAATCAAGACTGCCAAGAGGGCCGAGTGCATCCTTGGCTGACTGGCTCAACCCGTCCATGGAGAAGGCTTCGTGCATGCCCATTAACTAAGAATGATTGACCGTCTACATCTGAGAGCGTTTGTCTGCAGGAACAACTGCTTCTACAAATATTACCGGTGAACCCCTATTTCTGATGGTCAGCGGAAATGGCGACCCAGGAGGGGTATCAAGAAACCGCAACGTCCTCCCACCACGCAGCAGCGGACGACAGGGAACCAGACGTGCCCAATAATTAATCTCTCCTCTAGACCCATCACCAATGGTGAGTGGAGACTTCTTTCTAAGGGCTTATTATTTTGTCCTCTCAGCAGACTGAACACATTAAATTTTGAAATAGAAATGTTCAAATTTGAATGGACACTGAAAATCAAGCAATTCTTTTACACACAGCCAACCCATGGTCTACATCAATGTCTACCCCTTTTAGACTGAAAGGTAAATTTACACCTCCGAGGCAATTCCTTTCTATTGATAACTAAACACAAAGAATCAAATATGATGTCTTCAATAACATCCCCAGAAATAACCGCACTAACGAGCTCTGAGGAGTTTGCAGCATTAAGGTCCTTAAGGGAAGACAAAAACATTATTATAAAACCAGCAGACAAGGGTGGGGGGTATTGTGATCATGGATTATACTGATTACAGGGACGGTATGCTCTCCATGCTGGCGGATACCACTATGCGTCACTACAGAGGGATCCCACACAAGGCACCAGGAATAGACTGAAGAACCTGATTGACATTGGTCAAACTAATGGTTGGATAACCGATGGGATTGCTGAATTTCTGTTTAATGGCCATCCCCGCATAACTCTGATCTATGGACTATCAAAGATCCATAAGGGGACTACTCCACTGAAGTTCAGTCCAGTTGTTTCTGGTACTGGGGCTATTACCCAACCATTAGCCCAGTTTATAGACTCTCACTTACAACTCTTTGTCAAGGAACTACCAGCCTATATTCATGATACTAAGGGCATTTTCCTCATTTCAGAAAGGTTGGAAACTGGCCACAATGGACATT